CCAGAATTCTCCTCATCTCATAGTCCCACCTATACTTCCTGCTAATCAGCATTTTATTCATCAACCGATAAGAGAAACATATATACAGAAGAACATCCCCCATCAGATAAGAGTAACAGTAATGGTGTTACAATGGTGTTAATACAGCATCAATGCTACTATGCTTAAAAAGAGTTAAGGTTGCAAATAATATGTTATGCATTTTACCACATTTTCTAAAACTTGAGACTACTGTGTTGCAGAGTATGTGCTCCCTCGGCCATCTAACATGATCTCAGCTACATAACACCTTAATGCCACCAAGCAGAAAATTAATAGCACTATTCCCTGGGCAATTGTGTTGGTTTCTCCTGTGATCCAAGCTTCAGCTTCTGGATGTATAGGTCATGATCAGTTCTAGAGAGTAGTTCATAATGAGACTAATGGAAGGGGTACCTGAAAGCTGTGGCAAGATAATTTATAATAGTGTCATTATAGAATGCCAGTATTCCTGGGATGCTAGCCAGAATGGAGGTAATTATTTTCTAAAAGTCACTAGAGTCTAAACTCTAGAGTCTGAAATAAATCCACTTACTCTGCAAGGTGACAGTGGAGAGTTCTCGAATATGATTTGTTTTAGAAAAGGCAGATTCTTTAGTTAGATTTTTAAAGGATAATGGCCATGAAGACATTAAAGCCCTATTTTTGTTTGCTGCCAACACATGAGCAGTACTAGCCAAAGTCAAACGTGTCTGAATGGTGCTGAGTTGCAGTGGGCACTATAACTCAGAGAGGAATAGTTCATTTTGTGACAATAACATATCTTGCGTTTTTTTTTTTTTTTTAAATATTTGCTATGGCAAAACATACTGAAAAAAAGTCTACCCCATATAGGGTCTCCATGTTGCAGTCTAAAACAAGCACAATTTACTTAAAACCAAGGAAAAGTTTAAATAAACCATAGTGGAACCATCTGGAGAGAGCTGAAAGCATTCAGTTACTAGAACTCCCTTCTAAACAGGACAACAGCATAGGTTTTGGAGACTGGCTACATTAGTGAAAGAAAACACACCTACACAGTCATTCAAAGTAAGGCAATCATTAACACAGCCAGTTGTGCTGTGGAGAATGAAGTACTGTAATCGTCTCCAAGGAAACTGGGAAAGGAGAGATCCTGGGAATAGACACGTGGACAGTACAGGGGATGCCTGTGAACTTCATGTGGTACGTGACACGGGTCCCATTGATAATCTGCTGAAAGCTATGACCTCTTTTGAAGAAATGTAAGGACCAACATTTTGCATGTGATTTCAGGAAGTTCACTGACCTCTAAATACATTGCAGGTCAAGGGTTGCCCAGTGACTGAAAAGATGTGGCCAAAACTGGACTCAAACTAAGAAAGATTTTTATTTTTTTTTTAACACAAAAATGCTTTTCTGCATAGCAAAATTCTAGTTGTTGGAAACCTAGAGAAGTCAGATGGAGAAGCAGCCTACAGCAAGAGGAGAACAGACTGATCCCGAATGGAATGATCCCTCACTGTGTACATTTGAGTACCCTTTGTTTTGTGTAGAAGAATTTTGTGTTTATATGTATGTGGATAGGTATGTATTTCCAGGTGAGTGGAGTCTCTGTTCTGCTTCTTCCAGGTGTGTTCCTGAGCTTGAATTCAGGTTCTCAGGCTTGGCAGCAGATGTTCATACCTGTTGAGCTATCTCATAGGCCTTGGTTTAATTTTTAAATGCAATATTGGACAATTCATGTTTATTTGACTAAAAAGTATAAAGATAGAGACCAATTTGAAGAACCAGATAATGCCAGAACTGGGGATTCAAGGTCATACTGGATCCCCTGTCTTAAACAGCAATAATAGTGATAAGTCTAGATAATTAAACCTCATAATTTATGTGAAAAGGGGTGAGACCGGAGGATGAAAGAGTAAGAGAAGAGACATAAAGACAGGAAAGGAAAGAAGAGACAAGAGTCCAGTGTAGACAAGTACAGAGGGAACACCATGTGAAGACACATGGAGATGGTGGCAGCCATCCAAAGGCCAAGGAGGGGCCACAGAGGAAACTATAACAATGTCGACCTCTTCCTCATATACTTCTACTTTCCATGATTATGAGAAGATAAACGAGTGTTTATTTAAGCCACCCAGTCTGATGCTCTCATGGAGCCTTAGCTGAGAAACATGACACCCTAGAAAGAATGCCTGCACGTGATGGGAATCTGTTCAGAGATGGCAATGCTAAGACAGCACACTGAGAAAGACGTGAAAAGACTCAGTGAACTATGATGGAATAAGAAGATTCAGCAGACTGTGTTAGAGGAAAAAGGACACTGAGATGCTTTTGCTTCTGTTAATTATCCTCTAATCTACAGAACTGGAGCTCTCTGGAGATTGTCTAGAGTCTGTCTAAATTAACTACCTAAGATGAAGGGCAAATGTGCAGTCAGCTTCATCACAGTCCATAGACTACAAAATGTTGAATGAACAGGAAATTTAATTTTTAATTGTTAGACAAAATGTATCTGATATCATTTATTCCCTGATTTAAGGACAAGACACTTCTGAAGAAAATGACTATCATGAATTATGTAGCTCAAACACTTCTTAGAAAAAGAATAAAGGGAAGTTATGTCCTTCCTCATGGCTCATTAAAGAAATTATGGAAATTAGAAAACCTGAATATGTAAAACAAAAAAGCCTGAAGCATAGACATTGGTTGGTCAAGTCAATTTGCAGCTTACGGCATGTTTTAGCTCAGTTATTCCAAGGCCAGGTTCTACATTGTAGTCACTCACAGTATTTTCATATGACCAAAGCCCAGATCCTACCACCAAGAATTCAGTAGATCTGGGATAAGACAAGTCATTGCCCATGATATCCAGAGGTGTCTAGTTGCCAGTTAAGAATAATTCTACTAGTTTATGAGGCCACTGGCAGTGAGACCAGGAGCTATCCCCAATAAATGAACTGGCTTTTTGGAGCCCATTTCCTATGGAAAGATACCTTGCTCAGCCTAAACACTGGGTTGGGGGTGGGGGGCTGGTCCTGCCTTAATGTGGTGATAGGACAGAATTTGTTGACTTCCCATGGGAGGCCTTATCCTCTCTGAGGAGCACATGGGGCTGAGATGAGGGGTAGGTGAGGGAGCGGGAAGAGGGAAGGGAAGGGGGAACTGGAATTAGTATGTAAAATAAATAAAATTTTAAAAGTTATCAGAAATAAAAAAGAATAATTCTACTAAACCCATGTATGTTAAAAAGGAAAAAAAAAAAAAAAAGGCCAGTATTCCCATTTCCCCCTTATCAAAAGAACTATGCTCACTGTAAAGTGCCCCCAAATATTTTAATGTCCATTCAATCATTTGTCCCAGGGGAGGCAACAGAGGTCAACGAAGTACCCATAGGGGCTGCATGCCTATAACACTGAGCCTGTAGAATGACGGGATATCGTTAGAAGAGCATCACAGTGACAGCTGTAGCCAGTGAAGACAGTTTCTAGTAAAGGAGGCTGATTCACAGACAGCTATCCGAATGGAGGGATGAATAGTGCATTACTGGCAGCACCTTCAGCACCTGGAAGGGTTTAATTGCCTCCTCCCCAACCCTGCTAGACAGAAGCAGAATCTCGCGCTTACAGGGGCACCTAGGTCTCCACGATGCACTCTCAATGTATGTTTGTTTGGGTGCTTCGAACTTATTTCTAACGAGCAATTTTCAACAAGCCAAATGGTTGAAAATCCCTTATTGGTAGGAAGCCCTTGATGGTTGATTTCTATCTTTGTCACAAGTGCAGTTTTCCAAACCTCACAGCTGTATTCTCTAGCTAGTTAAAAACAATACAGAGGCGGGGCGTTGGTGGCGCACGCCTTTAATCCCAGCACTCGGGAGGCAGAGGCAGGCGGATCTCTGTGAATTCGAGGCCAGCCTGGTCTCCAGAGCGAGTGCCAGGATAGGCTCCAAAGCTACACAGAGAAACCCTGTCTAGAAAAACCTAAATAAATAAATAAATAAATAAATAAATAAATAAATGCAGAGACAGGAAGATAGCTCTGCAGTAAGAGTGCTTACTCCACCAGCGAGATGTCCTGGGTTCATGCCCTGGAATCCTAGGTGAAAACAGAACTGATTCCTGAACGTTGTCCTCTGACCTCTACAAATACACTGCACTGAGGGCACCCATAAACAGACAGACATACATTGTAATAATAATAATGATAACAATAGTTTATTCCTATCACATTTCTGTTACCCAAATAAGTCCAAAGAAGTCTGGGTTTTGTTTTGTTTTTTGGATTTTACTTTATTTTATTTTTTTTGCTTCTATTTTTTTTTTTTGGTCCCACAATCAAACATGTGAACAACACATTTCCCTCCTGAGTTTATGTACTCTCTGTATCCTCTTCTTTGTCCCATATATATCCTGTCATTCTTTGTTAGTGAAGACCTACCCAATCATTTGTTGTTTTAGAAATCTGTGATCAGAAATTAATCTGTCGAATCATAAAAATTTTCAAATGAAAATTTCACTCTCTCATTTTCCTGAAAGATGCAGTAGAACAGTCGGAAAGCCACAGTCTATCTGAAATTAAAATGCATGGCTTTGAGGCTTATTTGACACAGAATAATTATTTATGTAGTCTGCTAGCCAAGCATAGAGATTGCTAATGTCTGCCCTTGAGGGAAATGAACTGTGTGAAAAATTTCAAGCAAACACGATCCAACTGTTCATACAAAAGGGGGAGGCAGAAGAAATCCGTGTACTTCTCTCCAAATTGCCCCCAAATTGCCCCAGATCAGCATGTACCGTACGCACATCTTTTCCACCAACTAAAGTCATAAACAGGTGAACTTTTTGAAGGGAGGAGAACCATCGTGCTTTCTCCACAGATGGTCAGCATCATGTGGCACAGTGACGGCTTAACACATCACAAGGGCACCATATAAAGGCGGCCAAACTTAGAGTTCTGCCACTCCAGTTGCTTCAGGGTTAGAACTGCAGCTTGTCTAGATGGATTTCCTTCATAGGAGCAGAGTACTGATCATTCAACATCTACAGAAAGACTATAGGGCCTACTACAATTTTCTAAATTTTATGTCCAATGTTGGAGACCTCCGGAATATCTTTTCTATTTACTTTCCACTTTGGTTTCAACTGAATCAGACTGTTGGGACCAAGATGATATGGGTAGCAGTCATAGGAGACTGGTTCAACCTTATATTCAAATGGTAAGACTGCTGATTTGTTTTATTTTTTGTTTTTTATTTTTCCTAAAATTTATTCTTAAATGTGTAATTTTAGCTTAATGAGCAAGCTTCAGGTGTGTGCACTTTGACTTGGAATATATTCCAAACAAATTGGTTACTTTGAAACTCCGGATTCCTAAGTAGAACTTACAAAAAGCATAGAAATATTTACTTCAACTGAATTACAAGTGATTCCAAAAGCCACTAACACATGTGCCATGCTAACCAAGAAGTTAGCAGTACAGTAGTGGCATTGATGATTCTAAGGACCACTTTGATAGTCCCACTCTAAGTACCCAAAGCACCCACAGGAATTCCTTGTTCATGGGAGACGAGGGTGTCCAAACCCCAGGTACTACCATTCTCTGTAATGATGAGAGACTAAAACCCAAGTTATTTACGGGCATTTTAATTATGAGTTTTCCTCCTTGACTCATTACTTGAGTCATTTTTTTTTTACAAGAATCACAAGTCTCCACTTAGTTAACTGTTGTATTTAAGTATATGCATTTAATTACAGGATATTATTTGGGCATCGTCCTTACTGGTGGATCCAAGAAACTCAGATTTACCCAAATCACTCAAGCCCATGTCTTGAACAGTTTCCTACTACATGTGAAACAGGCCCAGGTAAGCAATTAAAGAAACCTCATTTTCCAGAAGCTATTCTAAGTCTTTATAGTGATTAGCACCCTATAATCATACGGTATCTAGGATCTCAAAGAAAATGTCATGAGTGGGGATGCTTAACATTTATTGTAAAAATTGCTAATGAGGAAGGAAAGAATTTTATGAATGGTCAAATTCTATATTACTGTTTGTGAAAGATTATGTGGGGAGAATATGTCCCAAATCATTTTATATTTAGGTATTTACTTTTTGAAGGAATGGTTTGGTATGAAATGCTTTTTTTCCTTTATCCTAGAATTTTCTGTCCATTCCATCCTGTGAAATGTTTTTCAAAGGATATGAGATGAGAGAGAAAGAGAATTCCTACATACAGTGAAAAATGAGTGTATCTATGTTTAACAAAAAAAGTGACTAATGCTTTGTTTTTTTTTTGTTGTTGTTGTTGTTTTTTTAAGACGGTTTGATATTTAACCTGAGTGGCTTTCTGCTGGGTGAAAAGTTATGTCCAACAACTAAGTAAAGTGGTTAAAAGTAAAACAATATAGGAAATGCATCAGTTCTGGTAGTAAGGAAAGGCCTGATGGCGGATGTTTTCTGTCAAGATTCACACCCCCTTTAGTGTCTTTGTGGATTGGATTCTCCATTGTTTAGCAAAGATTCTCACAGCAGTGGCCACAATATTCTGGTTTCTGCATGTGCACAGCGGTTGTTTGTGAGTCAATAGGTAAACCACAGGCAGAAGACAATAGCCTGTTAGCTTAAGGAAAATAAATCGATCCAAGATTCAGCAGAAGTACTTTAATTTTCTTGTCAATTGAAAAAAAACATATGAAGAATGAGTAAGATTATGTTAGATTTGGGTGCAACTGCCCATGCTCTTAATTATACTTGAATATATTGATTTGCAGAATCCAATCAGCTTGAAAATCTGGAGGAGAGCATTTTCATTAAAGAACATTAAGGTAGAATTACAGAAAGTTATGGCTTATTATATATGATGTAAGTTCATGATATTCACAGCTTCTCACGGCCCTATTATGTCATGGGGAATTGTTTGAGAAGTCACTTTCCCTATATTTGCCATGGCAATTTTAACTCTAACCATTATTATTCATATTATTAATGATCAAGAGGGGGCTATTTAAGGACCAAGAGGAAAAAAATCAGATATTTCTAGCAATTTTCTCTATGTCCTTTCCTTTTTTAAAAAAGTGTTTTTGAAATGGTGAATTTGAGTCTCAAATTGACTCAACTTTTATCTACTTCTACACAGTACATACTAACCCATTATTGTAATTTTCATGGCAAATATAACATCCTATTGTTTCATTTTTGATCCTGATACTTAATTAACCACTTTTTGAACAATGCTTGTTACAGGAAGTCCATCTGGTCATGCAATGGGCTCATCATGTGTCTGGTATGTCATGGTAACCGCTGCCCTCAGCTACACTGTCAGCAGGCTGGATAAGTCCTCTGTCACTCTGCACAGGTCAGCATGCTTCACATTGACAAGACAGTGTTAAATATGTGAAGTCGTTTCTAAATATTCATTTTAATACATTCTTAGTTGTTAAATGAAATGTACTTATTCTGTTCTTTCACAGCCCATGTAGCAGAATGAGTGGAAAATGAATATTCTGCTTTAAGACTATGTCCTAATTAACTCACAGCTATTTCCACTTTTATAATTGAGTTGGAAATGTTTATCTGATTAATGACTTGCTAAATACGCCTTTGGGATTCCAAAATTCAATTATTATTTTGATACCTCATAAACAAGTCATCTAAAATTGCATAAGGAAACATTTTTGCATGCATGTTCTCTTGCCTTAAGATTAACTTAAAATTTTAAGAATTGTCGTTGCTCTTGAATGCATTGATTTATCTAGTGAAATTATGCTTCCTATTTTGAACACCCAATGCTTTTAAGATCACTAAAATATATTCTAGCTGTTAAAATCTATGCAGTCTTTTTAATTAAAACATTCTAGAGGCAAAATTAAATTCACATGTTAGATTTACTGCCAACAGATTTCTTAATGTGTAGACCCATACAGAACTTTAAGATAACGCACCATTGTAGAAATTGGCCTTTTTCTTCTGTACTTCTTTTGAAATTCTTTGTAATTAAAGAAATCCCAAACACCACTTTAATCATAAATTGTAAGTTTTGATTAGAAGCAGAAACATGCAAAAAATCTTACCAAATGTTAAAATCCAACCATTAAAAAAAATACATTCAGTGCCAGGAATCCTCAGATGTTATACTGTTGATAAGCAGACCAAAATTTAGTTATAGAAAGAAAACATGTCAACCTTTAAAAAAATCTGATATGCAGCCATTACCAGTATATAAAATTTCTTCTAAAATAAAGAATTGAAAACACTATTCAACTTCTTAAGAGGGATGAATAATGTAAGAAATAAGTCTATGCAGGCCATTCTTTCCTGGAATTAACAATCCTAGAAAAATGTTTGTTCTAAAAAGACGCTCCTATTCCTCTTTGATGTTTGTATCGGCAATATTTTCTTCAACTATAAAAATTTAGAGAATGGGAGCTGAAGAGATGGCTCACTGGTTAAAAGCACTGGCTGATCTGGCAAGGGGCCCAGAACCCACAGGATGGCTCACAACCATCCATAACAGCAGTTACAGATGATCTGATACCCTCTTCTGGCCTCCAAGGGCACCAGGGACACCCACATGGTGTTCTATACATACATGCAAGCAACACACTCATGCACATAAAATAAAAATCAATTGAATCTTTAAAAGGAAATGTGCTGGGATGAACACTGATACCTCTCCTTTGACAGACTCATTTCTTTTTCTTTTTCCTTTCTTTTTTTTTCTTTTTTCTTTCTTTTTTTTTTTTTTTTTTTTTTTTGAGCCTATCCTGGCACTTGATCTGGAGACCAGGCTGGCCTCGAACTCACAGAGATCTTCCTGCCTCTGTCTCCCGAGTGCTGGGATTAAAGGCGTGCACCACCAACGCCCGGCTCATTCTTCTTTTTAATCTTTGGTTTTGCTATAACTAAATGTGGGTCTGGTTGTCAACAATAAACCATTTGAGAATTCCTAGCACTAAATACAGCTTAAAAAAAAAAAAAAAAGGATTTCAGTGTTCCGAATTGTTTTTTTTTTTTTGTACATTTCATCTTCCAATTGAATGTATACAGCATATTTTCTTGTTCTTCCTTTTTCTGTACTTCATACAATGATCAGGGCCCCTGAGAGTCTGTGAGATTACACAGTGAAGTCATGGGCTCAGTGGAACATCCATGAACTTTTCACCTAAATGGATGCTGCCTCTCCAGTATTTTTTTTCCAAACAAAGAAAAGCTGAGAGTGGAGGGCAGAGAGCATAAATGACAAGAACAAAAAATCTATATGGTTTATTCTTGATTATTCTGGATACTACTCATCTCCCCCACACACATACACACACACCTGAACTTTTCTTGTTCCTTTTTTCCTATCTCAAGGTCATCAAAATGCCTTCCTCTTTAAGAATAATATAATTCGTCGAGAATTTTATACAATGTGTCTTGATATTAATTCTCTGCTCATTCAACTTCTCCCAGGTCCACCCCTACCTCCTTACCAATCTAATTTTAGGTCTCTGTCTCTCTGTCTTTCTCTATCTCTTTCTCTCTTAATCTCATCAAGAGAAAATTGTGTCGCTCAACTATTCTTGGGTATGGAGCCTGACTGGAACAAGGGGGTCTTACCAGGTGTCACACACTTAAAAACAACAACAAAACTAACTCTCCCCCTCTCCGAGACTGTCAAAGGTCAATAGCTCCTCTGTTGGAGTAGGACTTCATGCCCACATCCCTCTCCTCCATGCTGGGAGTTTGACTTAAATGCTTTCCTTTTCAACATTTATTATTAAAGTCTTAGAAGATAGCATTGAGGAATGTGAAGTCCGGTGCTTAAGCTTTTGAATCCTATGGGAGACATGAGGGTGTGTGGAAAAAGAGACTCTCAACTGTGTTCTGTGGTGCCTAGAAGATTCCCATAAGAACTATCAGGTGTCACCCACCTAAGTTTATAGGTGCCATGATTTCTCTGCTATTCACGCATGTGTCTATTTTCCATCACAGACTGACCTGGTCCTGCCTTTGGAGTGTTTTCTGGTTGATTCAAGTCAGTGTCTGCATCTCCAGAGTATTCATAGCAACACATTTCCCCCATCAGGTTATCCTCGGAATCATTGGTGGTAAATATGGTCTCTTATGTCTAGTTGTGTTAGTTCACCGTTGCTTTGTTTGCCAAATTATGGTGTCAGATGCTCCCTGGTCATTGGTTTTCTGGTGTCAGAGGTAGTTCTATCAAGCCACTAACACAAATGCTACCACAGGGGCTTAGGTGATTTACCTCCTCTCTCCTGTGTAGTGTGAATTCTAATTAGTCTTAATGTTAAAAACCCGGAGTCAGCTATCAAGGGTGAAAGCTGGAAGATCAGAGAAGCAGAGCAGTCAGCCACTGGGGTTCTTACCTCCACCAATGCTTAGACCAAAGGGGCAATCCTATCTCTATGAATCCTCAGACTGAATGAGCTCCTGTCTCCTCCCGCCTTTTATTCCTCTCTTCACCCAGCTATATCACTCCTGTCTCTACCTCCCTAGTGCTCAGATTAAAGGCATGTGATCCCAAGTGCTGGGATCAAAGGTGTGAACCACCACTATCTGGCTCTGATTCTCTTTTAGACTGAATCAATCTCCTATAGGCCAAGGTGCCCTTGAACTCACAGAGATCTGTTTGCCTCTGCCTCCCGAGTGCTGGGATTAAAGGTGTGTGCTACCACTGCCTGGCCTTTATGGCTAACTAGTGGCTAGCTCTGCACTCTGAATTTCAGGCAAGCTTTATTTGTTACAGCACAAACAAGATGTCACCACACTCCTGAGTATCTGTGTTCATGCTGACACTCTCTCTCTCGATGGTGTAAAAGGATAACTGCATGGTGAGATGGGTTTTTCTGAGGTATAATTTAAGTGAAGTCCATCTTCCAAACCGTCATGTCTTACACTGGGCTATTGGGGGACTTTCATAAAGATCCCACAACCCACAACCATGACACTCTGTCTGAGTTATCTAAGTTCTTAAAGCATGGCTTAACTCCACTTAGTGGCTGCTTTGTATTGCTCAGTGTTCTGCCTGCAAAATGGGTTGTTTTTCAATGCTACTGACTTTGAACTGATCCTTCTTGGCCAATGTAGGTAGTTGAAAGACTAAGGAACTGCCCTATCTGAAAACACTTTAGGAAATTGTTAGGACCTGGCTGTCTAAAGCCCTCCACAGTGCAGAGGGGAGAGATTCCTGAAGGGCTCAGGGTCACACACTCATGCCAGCATCTCTTTGTAATCCCTAGGGATGCTAGTAGCAGAGGCCTTTGAACATACTCCAGGAATCCACATGGCCAACTTGAATGTGTACCTGAAGACCAACATCTTCCTCTTCCTATTTGCACTTGGCTTTTACCTGCTTCTCAGGCTGCTTGACATTGACCTGCTGTGGTCTGTGCCCATAGCCAAAAAGTGGTGTGCCAACCCAGACTGGATCCACATTGACAGCACGCCTTTTGCTGGACTTGTGAGAAACCTTGGAGTCCTCTTTGGCTTGGGTTTTGCCATCAACTCAGAAATGTTCCTTAAGAGCTGCCAGGGAGAAAATGGCGACAAGCTGAGCTTCCAGTTGCTCTGTGCCATCACCTCACTGGCCACATTGCAACTCTATCACTTCATCAAGATCCCGACTCACAGGGAACCTTTATTTTACCTCTTGTCTTTTTGTAAAAGTGCATCCATCCCGCTGACTGTGGTGGCTCTGATTCCTTACTGTGTCCATATGTTTATGAGAGCCAGTGAGAAAAAGACTAAATAGAGCTGTACCTGCTGTGTTTTGTGGTCCCAGGATCACCTACTTCCTGCATTCCTCAGTAGAGCCACAGGGGGGAGATACTGGAACCCTCTCTGCAGAGGTCACAACATGGTGACCACAGGGCCTGCCCCACCCACAGACATAAATTTAATCAGCTTTCTCAGTGTCATTTAAAGTAACAGTATTTGACCAGATATAATCACATCCACATTTTGTTGACAAACCTGACAATATGGCAACACAGAGTAAGCATAACCCGTGTAGAGACAATGGACAGGGACTGAATGCTGGATGTCCCAGTAAGCATTGTTATGTTTTTGTTTAAATTAGATATAAAGAAAAAGAGGAAGGCGCAAGATGAGACATATTAACCATTTTATTATAGGCCTGGCAGAGTAGGGAGACTAAAAGAGAAGAGAAAAAGGGTTAATGGCTGACCGCCATGGCCGGTCGCCATAGAGAGGCAGAGAAAGCACATAGATGGGAGAAAAGAGAGCGAAGAAGCAGAGAGCGAGCAAAGCAGGGAAGTTGGAACGTTTAAAGGGAAGACTGCGCATGCGCTCTGAGGTTCACGAATGCCCAGAGTCCTCACGCAAGCTGTAAATGCGGGATGGGTGATGTGGTGATGGCACATCCCTGTGCGTGCCCTGACTGTTGTCAGGGGGTGTGGTCTGTTTCTTAAGGAGGTAGAGCCGATCAGATTAAAGCCTGAACCTTTCATTCATGATGGCTCCCCCTTTTTTTTTATCATACTCTATAGCACTCAACAGATCCTCCAGTGTCTGATACCTCAATCATCCTAAGGCCTGACTGCTTCTGGCTCCCGTGGGCCTTTTAGAGGTATCCACAGTCAAATCCTATCTCCTCACTTGTCAGATAAGGAAATGGGGGTCCATTCATATCAAGAAACTTGCCTGTAATGATGCTATGTTAAAACCAGAATTAGAACCTGAGAATTCTAATACATATCTCTGTGACAATTACTGTTAGGACAGACACCAGGCTGACCCCATCCCCTGACGATGGGTGGGGCACACACAGGGACTGCCATGCCATCACCATGTCACTTTATCATGGACCTGTGTGAGGACTGTGCACATGCATAGAACCTCACCGGGCATGCGCGGTCTTCCCTTTAAACGTTCCAACTCCCCAGCCTCCCTCTCTCTGTCTCTTCTTGGGTTGGCTAACAATCCAGCCCCATCTCCTTCCCCCCTTTTCAATAAACTCCACGTGGGTTGTTCCGAAGTTTCGTATTTCATCACCAATGGCTGCAGCAGAAATCTAACAATTACTTACTTCTTTAACTTTAAGAGGTTAAAAAAATCATTAAGAGTAAATGCATTTATTTATAGTCTATGATTGCCATATGACACTATTTTTCTTTTCAGAAATGGCATTAAAATGCCACATCTATTTGACTTAGTCCAGAATACAGAGTCTTTTCTCTTTTTTTTCTTTTTTTTTTCTTTTTTTTCGAGACAGGGTTTCTCTGTGTAGCTTTGGAGCCTATCCTGGCACTTGATCTGGAGAGCAGGCTGGCCTCGAACTCACAGAGATCCGCCTGCCTCTGCCTCCTGAGTGCTGGGATTAAAGGCATGTGCCACCAACACCCAGCCCTCTGAGTCGTTTCTAGGCCAGCAATAGCTGTATATGTGACACACAAGTAGATCCAGGGCAAAAGAGTAGAGCAAGCTCCTGTCTGCACCTGGAACTGCTGGTCTCTGATCAGTGTTAGTGCTTGTCAATGTTTCAATAAACCCTGCTGAAGTCAACCCACTGGATTACTGTTTACCAGAATGAAGGGCCGAGACCCTCACTCAGCCCCCTGCTTTGGCAGCCATGACAGGTTGCAGAAAAGACCCAGCAAGATGTAGGCTTCTGACTCAGCACACATTGCTGAGTTTCCGGATTTCTGACCTTGCCCCACCTTGCCCTAATCACTAGGAAGCCAGATAGCCTACATGTGGCAAGGAACCAATCAGAAGTTACCTGACAGCCTCTGGGATGTGCTTAACTGATAATAGGGGAATACAGAGCATAGCAACCACCCTGGGACGACTTCTAGGCATAGCAACCCTTCTGCAGCTCAGGACAGGTTGCCCAAGCCTGGAGGTGCACCAATCCTGAGACTGTTGCTATGCAACTAGCAGACCCCCCAGACACTCCTCTTGCTCTACCCCAATATATTCCCGGCCCCACCGCTGCTCAGGGTCCTTCTTGCTCAACCCACTGTGTTGGACAGACGGAGGACCCGAGTTAATCCCGGTTAACTTGTTAATAAAAACAAAACAAAACAAAACAAAACTCTTTGCTTTTGCATTGGATCGGGTCTCTTGGTGGTTTTGAGGGGTTCAGAGTCTGGGCACAACAAGCACAACACAGAAAGGCCTCATTTCTTCACTGTGGTTTCCCCATATTTTACTTTTAGGAATCAAGTCTTTCAAAATCAGGAAAATCAAATTCTACCTCAGAAAAACTATTAAATACTTGTGCATCTGCTTATTGGACTAATCTCTGTGCTTTACAAAATTATTTATGGGCTATTAATATTACACCAAAAACTTCTCAGAAAGGTTTTTTTCTTCCTCATTGAATTCTAGACTTCCAGTTGATAACGATGTCTTTCTGATCAAGTTCAAAGACTGTGAGTCTAACTTTGCTGCATGTTGGTGACCTGTGGTCTCCTACAGTGCAGTCTGTAATTCTTCTCTTATGTGATGCTATATTAAATAGGTCATAAACATGTATGAAAACATACCAGTTGATAGTCATCATGGAAAATAACATCACTAATACCTAATAATTGGCTGCTTTCTAAGTGTATTTATAGAAAATGTACTGTTGGTTTTACAAGACACATTAACTAAAGAGGCCTACTTCTACTTCCCTCTGAGCCTTTTTTTTTTAAGTTTCCTACAGAGTCAATAATGTTCATCTTGAATCCTGCATCCAAGTACACTGTGAGCCTGCTTTCACGTGGGCCTGAGGAGACTAGGGCATCAATTGGCAGGGGATTATGCTGCTGTGCCCACTCTACCAGGCATTCCCTGTAGGTCCCCATAGAGGAGCTTTCTTCAGCTACCCTACACAGCTGTCTGTTAGATGACATGTGATCCTCAGAGGGGAAATGGGATGAGGCATGGCTTATTTTCAATAATTAATCTCCAGCAACTCTACCCTTGTCTACTATGAAGCCTCTGAGTCCCCAGTGAGGAGATTTTTCTTTCCATCAAGTTGAAATCTCCTGGAGGAATCCATATGGAGGCAATTTGCTTTTGTGATTGAAATTGCTTAGGCAGCAAGAGGAACAGCTCTGTACAGCCTTGGAGAAAATGCCTGATTTTAATCATGATGGAGAAAACTTCGGCTTTCAATTTATTCACAAGAAATAAGCAAAATTGAGCTCATTTGACTCGCTGTATCCATCTATTCACAGTGTCTACGCATCTGCATATTCAAGAGAAAAATGCCAATATCATGAGCTGTCAAGATGATAAAATCTAGACAAGTGACTTGAGAAGCTGTCCCAATCAAACATGCATTGAGAAGAAATGCAAGGGAATTTATTATTGCTAAAACTATCAACCAAGAAGAATGTTGAGTCTCTTTCTTTCGATAGCCCTTAGATTGGGCTTCTCCCTTAGAAGTTTAAGTTGGTACCATCTCTGTGTGTATGTCTCTATATAAACTAAATTTTACAGGTCCAAATTTTTAACATAAAAGTTGAGACCAAATGGACACACACAAAAAACTCTTGTTAAAAAAAATCAAGTTTTGCCAGGCGTTGGTGGCGCACGCCTTTAATCCCAGCACTTGGGAGGCAGAAGCAGGTGGATGTCTGTGAGTTCGAGGCCAGCCTGATCTCCAGAGAGAGTGCCACGATAGGCTCCAAAGCTACAAAGAGAAACCCTGTCTCGAAAAACCAATAATAATAATAATAATAATAATAATAATAATAATAATGTTTTGACTCATTAAATATATTGAAACTACTTTCCTAGCAGTTTTTAATTGAACTTTTTAGAATGATAAAGATACTTGCTTCTGTATAATATTATAGTTCATGTGAATATTAAGCTCTTAAAAATGTGGCTAATACAACTGAGGAAGGGTATTGTCTTAGGGTTTCTATTGCTGCAATGAAACACCATGACCAAAAGCAAGTTGAGGAGAAAAGGCTTTGTTTGGCTTATACTTCATATTGCTGTGTATCATGAAAGGAAGTCAGGACAGGAACTCAAACAGGGCAGGAACCTGGAGCAGGAGCTGATGTGGAAGCCATGTGCTTCTTACTGGCTTCTTCCTCATGGCTTGTTCAGTTTGCTTTCTTATAGAACCCAGGACCACCAGCCCAGGGATGACACCACCCACAATGGGCTGGGCCATTACAGCCGGATCTTATGGATGCATTTTCTCGACTGAGGTTCTCTCCTTACAGATGACTCTAGTTTGTGTATTAAGTTGACATAAAAATAGCTAGCACAAGTATAAAACGTAATTTATTCTTAGTTCATTTAAATGTATGTCTAGTAGCTCCTGGATTGGATATTACAAGTCGAACCCCAGTGCTTTTGTGTGAAAAGCAAAACAAAATTTATGTTGTCTTCTATCCCAAACTACATTAAGGTGAGTCTGTAGCAGGTTGACATTGGGCTCTGCAGCATTTTCCATAGGAACCTCTGCAGAGGCCATACCCCTTCCTCTGATTCCATCCTCTGAGGTCTTGCACCTTGGTCTCCCTGAACTCAGCTTTGTTGCTCCAAATTGAGTGTCTGGGCTCATTCTCCCTGCACCATGTCTTGGGAACCTGACATGGCAACAAAGTTGTGTGCTTTACCCATAATTCTTGGCCATATTCTGGATAACTGGATGACTTCCTGACCAAGATTTCCTAGTTTAGCATACGTATATGTCTGATCCCAGTGCTTCTGTGGTCATTGAGAATCTAGAGTTACAAAAGCTCTCCAAGGATCCAGCTGCCCTGAAGACTTTGCCCTCAT